TCCATTTTGGTGATATCAAAGCCCTCCCCGGCCAAATTGGCTCCCGGAGCAAATTCTGCATCTATGCACTGTTTTGGTGTCCCTTCTGTGCACGACTGAAACGTGCAGTCAGGGAGGGACAGCAGGAGGCCAGCACAGATCCAGATATTCACAAGAAACATGTTGCTACTGAGCTGGAAATATTTATTTAATGAGCCTGTGTCATTGAAAGCTGAAAAGGAAACATTTTCAGGTAAATAAACAGACACGTGAAGCAGTTCTGTAGTATATAGTAAGTTCTGAAAGACCACATATCATTTGTGGTTAAACTCAATCACGGTTTTGATTTATCTAAACCCGAAAGATGTCTATTAATTTTAAGATTTTTGCCATCTTATTCAGTAAAATAAGCCCCAGAATTTGATTTTTTTCCTTAGCACTTTGAAAACATCTTTAAAAAAGCCCCCCACAATGGATCAAGCAACTCTACAGGTAAGACTACTCACTTTCTGTTGTGTGTTCTCGCTGCACATACGCATCAGACTGTGAGCAGCGGTGTCACGATATAATCTTTTATATGCAAAGAACAAAGGATGAACACAGTGGGGTAGCAGAGGTGTGAAAAGCAAGTATGCAGGCGGTCTGAATGACACTAAGCGAACCTGTTATTTTTCTCATGTGATCATGGAAAGTGTTTTAGCATGTCTTTTTCTTCTTTGTTTATCAAACTAAAATCAGCTTGACAGTAACTGAGAACAAACTGGACATGAGGTTACAAAAAACCTACAATAACATGGTCAATCAAAAGTGTGATTGGGTAAAAGATAAATTATTTTTAAAAAAAGTCAAGCCCCTTTCTCATTTTCTTTTTTTCAGAAATGAGTCATTGTGAAACCTGCACCACATCATTTGCGACATATAGGCTGTCCAGACCAAAGAATGACTGAGTGAGAGGAAAAGGACGGTGTGAATCGTCCAGAAGCGTTTACAGGATGTCACCTGCTGCCTTTCAGTGCTTCTCGGGAACTTCGAAAGCATGCGTGTCTGTGAACTGTAGGAAGACCCCAGAGTACCCGTATAGATGGGGAAAACATTAACACTCTTCAGAGAAAGTCCCCAATCTAAGTAAGTGGATTTGAACCCAGAATCGTTATGTGATGGTGTAAACCACAACATCACCATGCCTCACATATACTTCACTGCTAAAGTAATAAAAATTTCACACTATAGACCAGAAACTTTTGACCGAGGATCCAACATCAACCTGTACTTTTGTGTCAGTCTGTACTTTTATGACAGTGAGGAGAGGCTGCTTGCATCCTAACCCTTTGAGGTGTAACCCTCAGCAATTTGAACATGTAATTAATGTTTTTATTAGTTTTGGCAATCAGGTAGCAAAAGAAAAATCCAAACCAAAACATTCTTACTCTCACCCATCAATAAATATTTAGATTTTTTTCAGAAAGTGTGCTCTGGACTTCCCAAAAATACAGGGTTAGGGTTATAATCTCTGATGAGTTCCATGATTTAGACCTCAGAGTGTTAAAGAAACCTTGGAGTCAAACAGATTAAGGCTAGGAGCCTTTTAGTCTAATGACCACTTATACATGTCTTGATGCATGCTCAATCATCAAGGTAAGGACATCCTAAAAAACTGATTCTGTTCATCTGGACGTAGCGTTTTCGGGTTGAAGAAATGTTTTCTTCAGTCTCATTACTGAAGAAGTCACTTGTATGATTGATGAAACGTTTCTATACTAAAACTATCATGTTTTCATCACATCATGCTGACGTAAGCCTGTTTTTATTACAATCAGATGATGTTAGCCTCTTATGCCCTCGTTGTGATGAACCCAGTATTCAATACCTACTGCACAATCCACTTTGTATTGTCTCTGTCCTGTCTTTGTTTATTGTACAGTTATCATTATAGTACTGTATAGTATTATATAGTTAGTAATTGTCCAAAGTTTGGCATGTTATTTATTTGTAATTCCTAGTTTTATATCTCTGGGAGATATAAAATATACTTAGAAATTATATACTCAGGTTTTGTAAATTATTTATATATGTATAAATGCACCCCGGGGTGCTTGGGGTCAAACAGCATTTGGGTATGCCGTATACTGTGTATGCTGTTGTATTGACAATAAAGTTCTTGAATCTTGAAATATGAGAATTTCTTTCCAACTCAACTTTGAGAAGTGAAACAATAAAGTTCCTTGACTTCTCTAAAATGATTGTAAATGTAGCTATTATTTGTTGTAAATCTACCAGTTTTATTTGTGTAAATTTGTCCTTGTTGTTCCATATATTTGCCTTTTTGACTCTCTGAATTTCCTCTAAATATTTTTCTCCTAAATTTGAAAGTTTCTTTCTCATTAGTTATTTCTGTATTCTTTTTTTTATTCTTTTTTTTTGTTTTACCTCTGATATGGAAGCTTGTTTCTGCTTTTGCCTCTTTTGCTATCCGTAAGTAAAACTGATTTCAAAACTCAAAATATTGGGGTACTCAGAAGTAACTCAAAATACTTATAAGTTACTTGTTAAGAAGAACTACTAAGTTACTTATTTAGAAGTAACTTAAAATTTCAAGATAACTAACTCAAACCTTTAGGCCAATAAGTCATAATTTCGATTTACCTGTGGCTTCCTTTTCCTTCCCACCATCCTTCTCTGTCACAACAGTCACCTACATGTTCCCCATCACTACTGTATTTTTGTCATTGCCACCGTCTGTAAACTATATATCATATCAGGCCTGATTACCATCTTGTAAACCTTTCACTCTATCCTTCTGTCACAAATCACCTCCAACACTTGGTTCCACTCACTCCACCCTGGCTGCACTCTGTTCTTCACCTCTCTTGTGCGCTGTCTGTTGTTTTGGATTTTTGACCTTAGGTATTTAGACTCATCTGTCTTCTCTGCTCCCTACAGCTTCGCCGTTACATCTGTCTCCCTCTCATGAACAACACATGCATCGTCTTGCTTCTACCGACTTTGGAGAGATGAGGAGAGATGAGAGCCATCTCTCCACGAAGAGAGCTTATTATCACTAAAGATCACACTGTACCAACATCACTGTCCATGGAGACCGCTGCCTGACCTCATCCTACCTCTCTCTGCCTGGCTTTTTTTCACTGGCGGAAGCAACCTTCCAAACCCTAATATCCTGTCGTATTTTTCCACTCGCAGCTTTATTTTATCCTTTAGTTTTCGGTAACTATAATAACCATATTTGAGAACAGTTGTGCGAAACTCCCTGGCTTTTATTTTGAAAACAACGATCGGAAATGTCCAGGTTTCTGTCTGAGTAACTTGACGCTTGGAAGACGATGCAGGGGAGACTCGAGGCCGCCGGAGAGGACTCCGCATTTCAAGGAAAACAGCCACCTAGAAATAATGATGGATCATAGTTGGCTCAAACACCTGATGAAGACACTGAATACTCGCCGTATGAAGCAGGCTGGGCGTGTTTAAAGCCAGCCGGCTCAAGTATCCGCTTTTACATCCTCAGCCACCGGACGTTGGTAGGCGACTGCCCGGCTTGCTAGCCCGCAGTCCTTCAAAATCTCTGCTCCACAATCACGGACCTTCTCCATTTATTTTTTTATTTTTTCAGTGGCATTACGAAACCTAGCAAGTATACAAGGGACTGGATTAACAAAAAACGCACGTCTACTTTCAATACAGTGAAGGTGTAACCTGCTAGTCCTCTATTTCACATCTGACCGCTGGGAACGAGCTAGCATCATCTGGAGTTGGACGCTGGCGCGGCTCCCCTACAGCATCCTTGCCTGCGCCGCTGCACCGGAATGCTAACTAACGAGGAAATGGCTTTAACATGACCGCGAACCCTTCGCCTCTCAAACGCCTAGCGCTTGTAGGTGGCACACGGACACTTTAGATGTCAAATGTAATGTCCGCCGGGAGCTTGCATCATGCGTGTGGCTTTCCGCGTCTGTCTCCAGCCTCGCGGATGACACTCGCACAGGTACCGGCGGTTCAAAGCGAGCAGCGACGGCGCGCGCACACAGTTGCCGGGTAGCGCTTAGAGACTTCTCCTGAGCTAGCTAGCGCCGAGCTAGGCGGCTAACAGCACAAAATAATAATTAAAAAAAACAAAGCAAAAACAAACAAACAACAACCCCAAAACAAAACAAAAAAACCTCACAACCAATACCAATGGTTTCCCATAAGGTTTTAGTCGCAATAATCTTACTGAACGTGTATATAGGTGTACAGTCAGTTTTTTACTTATTCGGCGGTGTCCTTTTAACCGTCCTCTTTGCTATGGCATTTTTAAATGGACCCAGGCTGCTGGACTGGGCGAGTTCACCTCCACATCTTCAGTTCAACAAATACGTCCTTACGGGATACCGGCCAATTTCCTCCGTGCAGGACTGCATCAGAAGCCTGTTTTACCTGCACAATGAACTTGGAAACATATACACTCACGGTGAGTACAACAAAAATCAGATTGGAGTGCTTAGTCAGCAGGTGAGATTTGTGTAGAGAGGGAGACAGACCCTGTACCTGCTGAAGGATGCACTGCCAGACTCTGCAACACAGGCTGGGACGCTTTCATGAAGGCATGCATGACTCTCTCTTTAAAAAAAAAAAAAAAAAAATACATTATTTATCCAGATGACAGCAATTTACAGTTCATTTCTTGTACAACTTATCAGTGTGATTAATCTAAAACGTACAATAACAGAACACAAAAGCAGAACATGGTTTGACTGACTGATTTATTTATTTTTTTATTTTTAATGTTTCATGCATAAGGGAATCAGTCCAATCCAAACAGGCTTACAAGGCACAAATAGGAAGAAACCAGAGCTAGAGTAGGACCATACAAATTACAAGAGTACTAAAGAAATAATCCAGCTTTGAAGTCTCACGCATTAGGAGCAAAGGCAGCAGACTCATAGACATCAAAAATGATTAAAAACCATCTTCAGTCATCATCAGCGTATCAACACATTTATGGTTTGACAAAGAGCTCATTAACTGTCACAGAAGGACAATACAAAATAAACTGATTTATTTTCAAGCATAAAATAAGATTTGGCGACTATCACCAGTTATTACACTGGAAATACCACTGCCAAGTTTATTCAGTTTTCAATGAATAAAAAAAGCAGGAAATCATATACTTTGAAAAGCTGTAATGTTTGCAAGCCAATGTTTGCATTGTTGCAATATACTCCATAACGAGCATATGATGTTTGTAATGAAGTAATTAAGACTGTGATATATATAGATATGTGCATGTAAGTATTTTAGAATTATATTGAAACAAAAATTAAAAGTCTCTTAACTATCTAGCACTGCATGTCATAAACTAGTTGGTAAGTTATTGTGAGGCCTCTGCACCAGCTCTGGTACATGTGCTGCAGGCAGTGCTGAGAGTATTAAAACAATAGATTTGCTGGATGAAGCATCTGTTTCTGCATGATGTTTATTAAAAGAAAATGTTTTCATGTTGATAAATACTGCCAGTGCCAATATCATTCATGTGAAACACTCAGCCCACCAAGGAGCTGAAATCCAGCTCACTGGAATGCTTTGCAGAGAAGGACATCAGTTTGACGTTCGACTGCATTTTGCAGGCTGCTCTTTGCTGCTATACCTAAAGCAAAGGATCACATCATGAAAATGTTTGGCCGACCTGTTATTTTCATCTGAGTCATGTCAGTTTTACAGCCTTCTTGCTGACAGAGACATCAGCCATTGTTTGCCATACCATGCCACAGTAAAGTGATGGGTTTCAGCCCTGTCCACTATACTGTCACATTTCTCTGTCATGACGTTAGAAAAATGTAACATGTGGAAAAATTGAGGCATATTCTTGAAATTGCAGAGATTGTTCTTCAGATTTCTCAGGCTGTTCATCAGTTTTATACATGTTACTTCTATTAAAGGCTGAGCTTATGTAAAATTCTGGCATCCACCACAAAGGTTTTGGCCTTTTGCAGAAGAGGATCTAATTTACTCAAACTTAAAATACATTTTTGATTAACAAGCATCCAAAAATAACAGGAAAAAGCAAAAACTTGTATTAACTAATGTAACAAAGGCTCTTTGTCTTAATTGTATTGCACCAGTCGTGCTTGTGTGCATTTTCACCCTTGAAAGGCACATTTTTAATTCATGAGAAACATTGAAAGGCTGATGTTTTAAAGAATGTGCTTAAACTTCTTTGCATTAACTAAAAGTTTAGGTGTTTTTCACAGGCCCAACTTTTCCAACTTTCAATACCTTGGCTTTGAGTATCTGCCAATGCCGAGTAGTGTTAGATAAATAAGCTCTAATCCTTAACATGGATAAAAAAAAAAAGGGGAATATGAAGGCAGCATTAATCTCCACTTAAACTTTGTTTTTCAGCTTTGTAAGAATAAATGGTCTTGCCTAATTACTGAGCGTTTAAAAGTCTTCTTTCAGTCAGGATTCACAATGATGAAACTTTCCATCGTGTTGTGTACGTCTCATTACTAGTTTTGGTAAACGTTAGGTCCCGGATGTCTTGCCTGCAAAGAAATAATCTTGGCTCAACTTTGCATAGTCATTTTCATGTGCGGTTCCACGCCTGCTTAGAACAAATGCGGCAATCACAACGTGATCAGGAGTGTGACTGTACCTATGTAATCTAAGACCTATTCTGGATCAAAATAAGTTGGTTTTATAAATGTTTACATTTTGAGTTTTAGCAATGAGGATAATCTGTGGCTCGCTCACTGGCTAACGACTTGTGACTGACAAATCGTGACGTCTATCTTTTATACTGTGGTGGTCAAGTAAATGCATCGGACTGAACCGAATACATCATCCCGTAGATCAGCACACTGTCGTTGCTTGATTTTGCTTTTTCAACTCAGGATTAAAATTATATCCAATCCAAATATCAGAGCAGAGCATCCCTAATCTGGCCCTGTTAAAAACAGAAATTAAATGGATTTGACACCCCTGATTTAAGCCAGTAGTGCCCAACTTATTCAAAGGACTCTATTTTAAAAGCTGTCACCCTCCCAAGGTGATTTTTTTTTGGTTTAGATGTTAACTGTATGGCAGTTTTGCAAAGAGGGAATTTTTGTTGGCAAAGAAATGTTTTTCCAAGACTTTCCTGCTTGGAGGCAAGTGTTTAAACGTGGACTGAATTCTTAAAAAGTAGTTTGACTTGCACGTAATAGCAGATTTGTACGTAAGAAACGCTGTTTTTGATCAGCTCTTGAACTCTGTGTTTACACAATATGAAATTCTTTTAATAGTTTGCTACAAACCCAGATTAATTGCAGAATTGTGTTAATCTGTTCAGCCAAAGGTGAGAGTGAGATTGAGGTGTTGGCCTGTTAGCAGTTTGCGTGGTGGGTTTTTTCTATTTTCAAACTGAGATGATTAGACAGCCTGTAATGTGGCACTCAGCAGCACGACTTGTGTCTTTTGCCCTCCTCTTTTCATATCAAAGTGCAATCTGGATGGTGTAATTTAACTTTGTTGTGGCGCTCCAGCATCCAGCAGTCACGGCGCAGTTAAACAGCATCAGTGATTATCAGCTAAGTGGCTCTGGATGTCTTTATTGCACTCCAGTGATGTTGGCTTAGCGTGTGACCTCAACATAACAGGCTAATGTTTAATCTAATGAGCAATATCTTCCAGTTTTCCAGATCTGAGAAGAAGAAGAAAAAGCTGCGCTGTGCTTGTAATTCTTCTTTATTGTTGTGCTGTAACATTTCGGCTGAGTTTCATGAGCCGGCTTGTTTTGCATATAAACTGAAAACATCCTGCCCGCAGCTCAGGTCTCAGATACTCAGAGGTCCTCGCTCCCGCTGCTGTGTCCACGCCTGACTTCAACTCGCCAGCTCAGGGCGAATGCTGAGAGGGAGATAATGTGCTTAAAATAGATGTGTTACAGTTGCATGCCATTCCTTGTATCACCTGCCTCGTCTTCAGTGAGAGCAAATATGAGAGAAAGGGAGGAGTGCTGTAGGTGTGTCTCAGAAAGATAAGAGCCGTATGTAAGCGGATCAAATTTCAAGGTCTGCATTTTGCTCACGTAGCAGTCAAATTCCCTGCCAAACAGGGAAACTTAAATGGGAGCCGTGTAGCCATTAGCAGCGTGGCCTTTTGCTGCATCAGAATTAGAGCTTAGTGGGAGCTTTGGCTTTCTCTCAATGGGGAATCACTGATACGTTGGTGCCAATCACGTAGGTTTCCCCTTTGGCTCTTCTTGCTGGTATCTGTGCACTCTCAGCAGCCATTCACAGCTACTGATTCTCATATAGTGTGAAAAACAGCGTCCTCGATTCCAGAAACTCCCGGGCGAGATAATCCATCACCGTAAACACGACACCTTAATTTGCTTTTGTCAGAGTTGAGCGGAGGGTTTTCATACCAGCGTGCGTGCATATTACCTCATATTACCTTTACAAGCAGAAGTAAAAGATGGCGCTTTAGTCGTTTTAATTGCATGTCATCAGATTTGTTAAAAGTGCTGCATAAACAGGCATTATTTGACACAAGAAGCACTGCTGTCAGGACGTGTGTGTCTTCACATATGAGACAAGATAAACTTTACTTTATTCATTCCAGAAGTTTTAAGAAAGTATATTTTTTCTTGTATGGAATAACAATGAGAATAATATACTAAATAATAATAATAATACCAATAGCAATTATATTATTAAATGGAGGTACATAGAGCAGGTAATATTATTTATAAATATAATGAAATAAAATAAATATATAACAAATATATAATAATAATATATAATATAGAAATTAAATTAATATATATATATATAGAAATTTAATTAAGAAAATTAATAGAAATTAAATAGTGATATGAATCTTAATTAAATCAAAGTTATGAGATATGTGCATGTATTAATAATAATGATTTTAAAATATAAAATGCAGATTACAAGGTTAAATAAAATGAAGTATTGTCATTTAATATTTTACTGTATTGTGTTTTTATAAAAGACATTTTTTAAATTATTAATTAAATTATTGCCCTGTATTAAGCTCAGCCTTTTACATGACGTTCTGTTGTTTAGACTATTTAGACTTTTATGTAGCTCATTAATTTCATTTGATTATTCAATTTCTTATTTTTTCCACTTATTTAAAGTTTATTTGATCTTTCTATTGTGTCGTTTTAACATTACAATTTCTGCCTAATTACCTTCAGGATAAACACAGTTTAAAAACCACCTCCAGTCTTTTCCTGTTTCATTGTGTGCATATTTCGCAGTGTGTTCATTTTTCCACTTCCAGTCATTACACATGCTTTTAAATTTACAGATCAGAGTGGTTCTACAAAGATAAAAAATAAAAGTGTTTCACTTCTGTATGAATTGACTTGTTGACCCCTAGAAGGACTTTAAATTAAACCCCTGTGTAGTAAAAAACCCATTTTTAAATACTACTACATTCCCATTCAGCGAGTGTTTGTATTTGGAGACTGAATCCAGAGCAACTAAAAACTCTTGAGTTATGCCACATTCTGCAGATGTGATAAAGTCTTTTACAAGTCTTTTACTGTGTGGTAAGCTTAAGGTAAAGCCTTCTTTTATAACCTCTGCTCTCTCGGTTTCTCTGCCTGCTCACTCTTCAGGCATCCCTCTGGTTTGCTTCCTGGTGCTGCTGCCTCTTAACATCCCCTGGTCTCAGATCAGCGTGACATGGCTGGGTGTGGTGCACTTCCTGGCCTGCCTGTCACCCCAGCTGGGCTCTGTGGTCTACCACCTGTTCATGAACCACGAGGGAGGGGAGCCAGTCTACCACACACTCCTGAAGCTGGACGTGTGTGGAATCTGCATGATCAACACGCTGGGTGAGGCCTCATGGATTCATTGTCAGCTGTTGTTCTCTTATTGCTGATCTGTTTTCTTCCAGGATGAAATTGATTGTCAGTGATTTACCGTGCGAGTGTTTTGCTTGGAGGTGTACCAGTATTGATTTGTCGCAACGCACTCTGATTCGATCTTACTTTGCAAGCAATGATTCGAGCTCTGAAATGATTATTGATCCGTCCATGCTGCCTACATCACCCTATTGTAAGAAAAAATGACAGGCACATTATTTTTTATTTCTTTATAGACTTCTACACTTTGAAGGAACCTTTTAGATTTGCCCACAACACCGATATCGATAATACAGTACATTCATTATTAATATTGTGACAAAGCATGGGAATAACAGGAATTGTGCCAGGAATTTTTACCAACCCTGCAACCTGCCAGGCCTAAGCACAGGGGATATTTATTCATCTTTACGACCAAAGCTACAACCCTTACGTTATCTCCTGTTCCCATGAACTGTTTTTAACCATAAAACATATTTGGAAAATCTACAGTAAAGTCCAAAAAAGGGATTAAACACCCAAGAAAACATTGTGACGTATTACTGTTTTACCTGATAATCTGATGTCCATCCACTTATGCCCACTAATTATTCATTTAGGTAGGCTAAATCATTCATCAGTGTTTGTTAACAAGGTTAAATATGATATGAATGTTCTTTTTATGCTAGTTGCGGATAAAGTATCCTTTGTGTTTCATCACAGAGCTGCATAGACAAAGGTCTTTTTGTCTGTGCCATTCAGGAATGATCAATTAGTCGTTTGTCGGCTGCACTTTTTTTGAGGGGTCGCCGCAATGGTACATAAGCATCTGAGTATTGGAATAGGACACAAGCCTCCTGGTGTATTCAGAGTTAGGGCATGCACTAGTAGAACACTAACTTCTGACTTCCTGTGCTTTGGTTGCACAGTTTTACCCAACTAGTCGTTAAGAAAATACCATGAAAGCAGTTGGCATCATTTAATTGTACTAAATTCCTTCATCCCCTTAAATTCACTGTTATAGCCGGATCTGAAATCCTTTCTATCAAAAGGTTTAGCAGCAAAGTGTAGAGGCTATGAACAACTAGGGTTGGGTTGACATGATAAAAAGAACAGAATAACAGCTAACGGGAATGCAGACAGACGAGTGGATACACGTCCTCCCGAATGAACTAATGCATACGCTTCATGTGAACGTAAAGAAAACTGTCAGGATTAGTAAAGTTAAACAGACTCAAATGCAGGGCAGGCAGAGAGGAAAACAATATGAATATTAATGGACAGACCTACAGGTAATTTTCAGGATTTTCAGCAAGTAAATAACAAAACTCCAACAGAAGGGAACAGAAGATGGTTAGCAGTGCAGAATTAGGCAAGAAGGCAAAGGCAAATATAGCTTTAGACAGAGGACAGACTGGGAAACAATAAACATGTGAGAATAATTAAAGCAGGAAATCCAAAAAGGAAGGAAAATCCACAAAGGCAGGAAACAATGAAACATGTAAGAAAACGAACCTTTACAGTAAAATATGAGTCAACTAAAAGACTAATAACTCACCCTGCCGACAAGAGGACTCTGGTAGGAGAACACAGAGGGCAGGAGAAGTCTAACAACAGTGTAATATATAACAAGGATCACTTCATCTTTTTCTCTTTGCCTACAAATGATTTTCCATTTGCAGTTAAAATGAATCAGAAGATAACAGTTAATGATCACATCTGAGTCACAAATTAATTGTGTCTTGTTCGGTTAATGGACTCATCACCCTCAGCTCAAGGTGACTGTGAGTTTAATAAAACAGAAATGCTTTCAGTCTACGAAATAATAACTTTTCCATTGAAACAACGTCCTCTACTTATTTGATTTTTTCCTTTGTGCTAAAAAAAACTCCTTTATTTTACTGAGTTATCCACATCTAGAAAGCTTAGCTGTGTTTAGGAACAGTGCATTTAAAGCTCAGTTGAACATTAGAAGAACTGAACGCTGCAAATCTAAGAGGCACACTCGGCGATATTAGCAGCCTTGATTCATGATTAAGCTTGTTGAACAAGTACTTTGATGAAGGACCCTTATTAGCTTTTGACCCACAAAGGTTATGACTATGGTTACAGCAATGAATGAAACAGTTATTAACTCTAATAAAAAGATTTCACTCGACCTGGGTTCACCTTCTCAGTAACGGCACTACCTGCTGATTGTGTGTCAGAGAGGACAGGCTGCAGACCCCTAATTCAATTCAATTCAATTCAATTTTATTTATATAGCGCCAAATCACAACAAAAGTCGCCTCAAGGCGCTTCATAGATACAGAGAAAAGCCCAACAATCATATGACCCCCTATGAGCAAGCACTTTGGCGACAGTGGGAAGGAAAAACTCCCTTTTAACAGGAAGAAACCTCCGGCAGAACCAGGCTCAGGGAGGGGCGGGGCCATCTGCTGCGACCGGTTGGGGTGAGAGAAGGAAGACAGGATAAAGACATGCTGTGGAAGAGAAACAGAGGTTAATAACAGATATGATTCAATGCAGAGAGGTCTGTTAATACATAGTGAGTGAGAACATAGAGAAAAACAAAGGGCCAAATTTTACAATACTGACGATTCACACACTTGGTCCTGAATACGTTTTACAGTCCACATGCTTCTATTTTTAGTCGCACACTGTAAATCTGTGTCCCATCAGTCTTGCCTTCCTCATGAGTTCTCTAGAAAAGAGAACTGCCTCCTTATTTCAGTAACCTCATCATCCACTTCCTGTAATGTGACATAAAAAATACAAAGTTGGAGGTTGTTTCAGCCACCTTCCTGCACAGTTGCACTGTGATTACTGAAACCATCAAGCTTTGACCAAAAGCGCAGCTTTAAAGGGTCAACGATTCAACCTTTGTGCTTTTCACGAGGCGTGGCTTCATCGCTCTTCTGACTTCCCTGTGTCTTTTCTCGTGTCTTAGGAGCGCTGCCTATCGTCTACACCACGCTGCTGTGCTACCCACTTATCCGCACTGTGGCCCTTTTAGTCTACATCCTGCTGTCCAGCCACGCCATCTACTGCGCCGTCACCGCTCGGAGCAGCGTTCGGCGGTTGCGCTCCTTCGCCTGGCAAGCGCTGTTTCGCTTCTCCTTCTTCCTGCTCCGCTGGGTGGGCGTGGGCGGCGGCAGTCCCACCTCGCTACGCCACTTTCTCACGATGGATGCACTGGCCGTGCTGGGCGGGGTCATCAACATCACGCGCATCCCGGAGCGCTTTTGGCCGGGTCTCTTCGACTACTGGTGCAACAGCCACCAGATCATGCATGTACTGGTGGTGATCTCCATCCTTTACCTGCACTGGGGCGTGCTGGACGACCTTCTCTGGATCACCAGCTACGACTGCCCCTCAGATTGACCCACACAGCAGCCCCCCGGCCCCTCACAAGGAGTGCTGGAACATACCATTGAAAGACCTCTGGGGGGAGGGGGGAGCCTGGAAAGGGAAGGGAAAGGACAGGGATCACAGAAACTAATGCTGTGCATGTGTTCACTTCATGCGCTGAAACTCAGAATGTTCATATCTTCGTCCATCTTGATTTGTGCGAATGCAGGTAAAAGTATGTCGAGTAACACGCACAATCATTCTGACTTGCTCAGTTGCCACAAACTTGGTGCAAAGGCGTATACATACACACATAAACACACAAACACACACACACACAGACACATTTATACACAAGCAGATAAAAAAAGTGGAAAATTTTAAAAAGTAAATTTATTAACCAAGTTTTAAACCCTATAATGTCTTAGGTAAAGGTTACAGCTCGAAGCCTTTTACATAATGATAGAAGTTTCTTTTAAGGATTACTTTGATGTCGTTGATTAAAATGGTCTAAATCAATGGTTCTGAAAGCTGGGTCTACGACCCACAGCTAAAATATCTAGTGATAAATTTCCTTTAAATTGCTGAAATTACATTCTGATCTTAAAAAGTGGCGATCTACAGATGGAGACTATATTTTGTGTCCTTTAATCACGCCCATGTTACCTTTGGACGAGTAGAAACTGACACGTGTCTAAAATGTTTCGATTTAAAAGTTTTATAATTTTGGCATGCAAGAGTAGAAATGGTAGTAAGCATGCGGTTTGTCAGTGTTGGGATTATAAGCGAGACCTTGGAAAAATGTTCTTGCCTGTCGCCTCAGGAATACACCGAGCTCAGCTGTGTTGCATTCCAAGTCTCATGCTGCTCCCGAAGCTGATCTCGCCCACTCGCGACAATACTTGCAAATCCATCAGACAGGTTGCGGCACGCCCCAGAAGCAGCTTTGTGTCCTGAGTGTTTTTTATGGAAGCTGCATTAAGATGCACAGAGTAGGGCTGGAATTCAGACCCAGAAGATCAAAGAGTGTCTTGTCAATTTTGAAAGAGTGCCGGGCGGTATTCTGATTCTAATTTAATTTATCTGAGTATGAATTTAAGAAAGTAATGAGGCTTTTTACCGGTAGAGACCTAGAAAAGACAAAACACTTACTGTGACCTTTGGAGGGGTTTATATGTGGTAAAACATTTTGTGTAAGAAGTACTTTGGAGTGTTTTGAGAAGGGGCTTGTATTAACTTTCAAACTCAAGGTTACCACTGTGTGTTAACGCCACTGAAGGTTTCATAAAAATTTAAGGGGCTGGGTGAGTGGGAGGAAAATTCAGAACTTTCAAGATTGAAGCTGTAAAAAGGACGAAATGGCACATTTATGAGGAAAAAGTCTGAAGTTTATATTGCTGAATCGCCTGTGTGGTCTTCCTGGCAGCTCCATCTTCAACATCATTTGTCCAGTATATGCACTACCCCTCCTCTGCACATGTCCAAACTATCTCAGCCTTGCCAATTCGGGTCCATACATCACAGCAGGTCTCACCATCTTGTAAACCTTT